AATTAACTTGAATTTCCTAAATGCGACTTCATCATTCTGCAGATTTGCAAGCCTCACTTCAAACACATGGCCCTTAAGGCCATCAGATGCAATTTTAGTTCCTTGAGTCCTGGTAACTAGTGTTTTCCCAATATTTCTTAGGTTGAACAAAGCAGGTGCTTTCATGTCATATCAATCTTTTATTAGAAAATGGATCAACCACTTTCTTCTTGGCTCCCTTTTTGCTGTCTTTTGTAAGGTGCCTATTCTTGCCAATGGCCATAGTGCTACTCAGTGAGCCAATAAGGCCAGAAAGAATTTTTAATCAGTGAGTAACTATCCCTTCCCTGGGATATGCTGAAAGTATGCCTGCTGTTCATTGGCTAACTCCAATTCATCAGCTGCTCCCACTCATCTTTTGTAGCTTTGATTTGTTGTTTTCTGTAAGCACTTGATCCACTAAACTGCCCTCCATTGGGCTTCCATGGTACCCCGTGCCTTCCACGTTGAAGTTTTCACCATATTAACTGCGTGCTTTGCTCACTATTGTATCTCCAGGATCAATCACAGTTTCCAGCAGATAATACTCAATAGTATTTGTTGGGTGAATGGATGTATTGATGAAAATTGTTAAGTGTTTTTTTCCCTGATGGATATAACACTAGAGAATAAAGGAAAGGCGTTAGTCTAGCTCAGGGTTTCTATGACAAAATGTGGTGAAGAACATGAGTAGATTTTACACAGCTTGGAGTTATCCCTGGGACTCTAGATACTTCTAATTCAGCCTCCCAGATCAGGAAGCTTCTTTTGGAAGAAGAGGTGGGTGATCTCTGGCGATGCAAAGTACATGGATCAGTAAGGATCACTGTCTCTTCCTGACTAGTCTTAGGCACAGGAATGTGGGTCCTGTGGGCTGTTCTATTGTGCCAGAGTTCAGGAGTATGTGGTGGCCAGGGAACAATTCTTGTTCATCACCTAGCTATTTTTCTAGATATTAATGAAATATTTACATGTTCACTGCCTGCCTTCTGACTACCTATGTATTCTCATATAAATAGCTGAACTATTCTCTGATCCATGACAGTTCTGTTTATTTATACATCCAAAGCTATGTTAATTTATAGTACAAACCATGGGATTTGGGTTTTTTTCCCTCTTAATATTTGGGAAATGCTTAGGTAAAGGACCAATATTCCATGGATAGGTTCCCATCACCCTATAGAAATAACTCTTTTTTATTTTTTTTTAAAAAAAAGAGGTTTTTGCTATAGGGTGCGTGTGTTCGCCGGAAAGACAGAGAAAGATAGAGAGACAGAAAGCAAGAAATCACCCCCCAGGGGCATGGCCACACCACAATCCCTTCTCCTCCATTCTCCTCTCAGGATCTTGGGCATGCCCGCACATGTGCCTAGTGTGACCCACACTGCAGTCAATTACATGGGAGTCGACATAGCCATTACACTAACTGCTGGTCCCTAGAAGTAACATATGCTAGACATCTCCTCTCTTTGCCATGGACAGAGCCCTCATTCTGGGTACTTTGGGTGCAGTGAGGCTGGGACTTAACTTAGAGAAATAAAGAGACTACTTGATTTTAGGGTGCTTCTAGACTGAGGAGTAGGATATTTTACTCCACACAACTAAAAAAACCTCCTACAGAAAAGCAGTTAATGGTCAACTCCATTTTCTTCATCATATTCACACTTTTTTAAAAAAGTTTTTTTTCATGGGGCACATGCACTTGCTGGAGAGAAAGAGACAATGAGAAGGGAAATAAGAAATCACCGCCGGGGTAATGGCCATGCCACAATCCCTTCTCCTCCATTCTCCTCCTGGGATTTTGGGCAAACACACACATGTGTCTTGCATGAATTTCAAGCTGCCAGATCCAGGGCTTGAATCATGGCCAGTCATGAGGGAGTCCAGTGCCTTAATCACTACACCAGCTGCTGGTCCCACCATGTCCACATCTTGTCTATACTGTGGCCAGATGTGTAAAATTTTCAACTCTCCTAGGCATTGAATGTGTTCATACATCTGAACATTCATTGTTCTACCTGTAACTGATCAAAATAATTTTCAAGTGAAGGCCCCAGATTCTTACTCTGGAAATTCAAAATAAGTATATCCGGGATGGATCCTGGAGTTCCATGTCTTTAAGAGAGAACCCCAAGTAAATTTATTCTACCTTAGTGCTTGGGAGGAATCACAAGTTACCCATCTGGTCTGGAAGAACCTGAGAACTTCTAGTGCAATTCTTCTATTCTGTAATGAAGATCCCAGAGCAGGAAGTTAAGTAAAAGAAAATGAATGGGAAATTGAAGAGATATAAGTAAGATTCCAAGAAAAACATGATCACGAGGCCTGGTCTCTCTTTCATTCAATTGTATTAATCAGCCCCTTATCACTGGAAGCCAAACCTTCATTCTGAAGTAGTATGGCTAGAAATCTGGCCTGATGTTTACCTCACAACAAGTTTGCAACTTGGCTGATGCATTGGAATTTCTAGGGAACAGTTCCCTAAACTTCGCAACAGAAACAATTCTGTACAATCGGTGTGCTGCCTCACATTAGTGTAAGATTCATGGGGGGTGGGGGGCAGTCTTTCTGATGGGTCTTTGAGCGCCTTCATGGCTTTCTACGCAGTCCCTTTTGCCCTTTTGAGTCCTTAGCACTGGTCCTGGAGATACTTTAAGTTTTGCTCAAATGGTTGATGTAGAAGGAAAGAGTAGAGAACAGGGAGGCAAATCAATGATAAAATGGTGAATGGCCAGCCATGGTAGCATAGCAGTAATGTAGCACCTCTTGATGCTGAGATCACATGGGAAGGTCCCAGGTTTGCATCCTGAGGCCTCCCTGTACATGCTGGGTGTGTGAGCCTGTGCCCGTTATCCTGGCTGCTTAAAGGCTGGGGGTGAATAGCAGCATGGAGACCCTCTTGGGGGTCTCTCTCAGAAAAAATATAAATAAATTTTTAAAAATAGTAAAATGGTGGAGAGTGGGGTTTTAAAGAGATGCTGACAAGGGTCAGCAAAGCAGTTGTTGAAGGACTGTAGGATATCCGAGATCATGATCCTGATGGCACAGCCCCAGTTGTCAAGTGCATTTCTCAAAGCTCAAAGCTTTTTGGGTTTGTTTGTTTTTATATGAGAGTTTTTTGTTTGTTTGTCTTGTTGTGTTGTTTTTGCTATAGGGCACGTGCATTCTCTGGAGAGACACCACAGTCCCTTCTCCATTCTCCTCTTGGGATTTTGGGCACACATGCACGCATACCCAGCATGAGTTTCAGGCCACCAGGTCAGGGATTCAAACTGCAGTTGGTCACATGGGAGTCCAGTGCCTTACCTACTATGCCACTTGCAAGCCCCAAAGCTCCAAGCTTTTAAAACACATAGACAGAAATGCACAGACACATAAACACACACACACACAAACACACACACACACAATGAAACATGCAAAACCCACCAAAGGACATGCAAATACACGTATTCCTGGGTTCCCTTCTCCTCTGAAGCACTTGTTGCTGGCTATGGAGATAACATGCAGGCTTGCTCCTGTACAGCCATGGTTGGTGGGAAAGTATCAGCCATTGGGGTTTCCTGGCTCAGTTCCAGCTTGGCTATTATTTGGGGATAGACTCAGATTCTCCAGATACGCCTGGATATGGAAAGAGATTGGTGATGTACAATGGAGGGGTTTGCTGGGGAGCCAGGATTGAGTTTAGTTAATGCTATATACATGCAACAGAATATCATTATATACAACGGGATATTATTCAGATTTACAAAGGAAGGAAATTATCACACATACTACAATATGGATGAATTTTAGAGCTGCTATACTAAATGAAATAAGGCTGTCACAAAAACATACTGTATGACACCACTTTCTTGAATAGTCAAATGCTCAAAGACAGAAAGTATTAGGTTGTTGGGAAAAGTCAACTTTTCTATGCAAAAATGCATTATGACTTTCTTGACGAGCTAATAGAATGAGTAGTTGCTAGGGGCTGGTGGGTGGGAGTGGGAAAGGAGAAATTATTTTATAATGGCTATTAAGTTATTATTTAGTGGAATTTTAGTTCTGCAGGATGAAGAGAGCTCTGTGGATGGTTGGTGGTGATGGTAGCACCACAATGTGAATGTATGTAATGCCACTGAACTGTACACTTAGAAAATGGGTAAAAATGAGAAACTTTGTATTATATAGATTGTATCACAATTCACACAAATAGACAAAAAAAAATCTCAGCAAGTCAGAGAGGAGTAAAAAGCAGGCATTACTCAGAACTCAAGCTGTGAGTATATTGTGATCTTTATTGGTATATGGCCTTTCCTGCCTCATTTCCTGCAGTTTCCCACCAAGACAGAACATGGTTCAAGAGGCCAACCTAGAAATCTTGCTAAACAGCTACCTGTCTCAGGATGGGCATGGAAATTTAGGGATATTCTGACTCCACTTAGATGGGAGTTCACAATCTAGTTGGGCAAGTAAGGCAGCCACACTGGCAAAGCAAAATAATTTAAGAGTTGTTGCAAGGCACTTCCCCAATGAGTGGTGTGGACAAGGTGGTGAGTTCTAGGAAGTGAGCATACGTTACTACAGGTGGGAACAAGTGAAGAAGGCTCTGAACGAGGCATTAAAAGATGGCTTGATTTCAGAAGTGGAGGAGAAGAGGTGCAGGCAAAGGGTAAAAAGTAAACTGAGGCTTTGAGGCAAGGATGTCTAAGGTATATATGATCCTGAGGAACACCCAAGATGTGTCCAGGTAACCAGACTGGTTTGGCTAGAACTGAGGACATACACAGGGGAGGAGTCAGATGTGAAGCTGGAGGGGTTTCTAAGACCCAGTTGTAGATTCTGAGATACTCAAGGGACTTTAGACAACATTTCTGCAGCAGAGAGCCTCTCAAGGTCTTGAAGAAACCCCAACGAGAACACATTAGCTATCAAGGTTGCTGGAATAGGAGGAGCGAGATTTTCAATGCAGGAGGCAGGGCCTCTCAGGTACATTTCCTTTAAAAATAGGCACTCTTAACACACGCCCCACCTTTGACTCCAGCTCCACCCTTTACTCCAGCGTTTCCTTGGTCTCCACAACCACCGTGACCCCGAGGCTCTGGAAACACATCACCAGATCCGCAGCCAGCACCACTCTCTTGCCCCTGGTTGCAATTAGATGGCCCACAGCCAGGAGCCTCGGTGTCTAGGCGGCATGGACTAGATTCATGACAGCCTAGGTCTTGCGGCCATGGGATTGGATTTGGGCCCAAGCACGGGCTGGGACAGCGCAGAGGCTCCCCACAAGGCTCTGGGCTTGGACAGGGGGCTGGAAGGGGAATTGGCTCCGGAAGTGGACGAGGCTGTGGGTATTCACAGGGCTGTGGGAATGAGCATGGCTCTGGAATTTCACACTGCATTGGACGAGGACGTGGAGCTGGGCGTGGAATTGGGCGTGGAGCTGGACGTGGAGCAGGATACAAACAAGGCTCTGAAAGTCGCCGTGGTAGAGGACATGGGCGGGGCTCAGGACTTGCGCACCGTGGATATGGACGTGGAGCAGGAAGTGGGTACCGCCGCGGTAATGGCTCTGGACATTGATCAACACACCGAGGACGTGGCTCCAGGCGTGGTCTCGGCTCCGGGCAGGAGGCACCCCAGGACGGTTGTGGGGCACAGCTCTGGGGCCAGCGTCTGATGGGAGGAATCTGAACTGGACCCTTCATTGGAGGAACCTGCCTGGGGCAGCAGGGAGAGGAAATCTCTATGCGGCACTTGGGTCTGCTTCTCTGAGAGCAGCTTGAAGTGGGGCCCCGAGAACAGCTGCTACCATAGATGGGCTCAGAGCGGCGGGGCGGGGTGCAGTAGTTATAGGAACCCGAAGAGCTTCTTGAAGGCAAGCAGCTGCTGTAGCAAGGCTCAGAGCATCTTGGTGGGGAACAGCTGTGGTAAGAGGGCTGCAGTCGACGGGGAGGGAGGCACCTGCTGGTGCTCTGAGACCGACGCTGTGCGGTGAAGCTCCCATAAGAGCCCTGCGTCTCGCATTGGGGTGCGCAAGTGCGATAGGAAGCTCGGGACTGACGCTGAGGTGCACAGCTGCTGTAAGAAGCTCCCCGATACTGGAACTGGGGTTCACAGTTGCTGTAAGAAGTTCGCGACTGGAACTGGGGGGCGCAGCTGCTGTAGGAGCCCTGATACTGGCTCTGGGTGGAGAATCTTCCCTGAGCCTGGCACACTGGAGGGCATTCTACGTAGGTCTGGACAGGCTGAGGAGCTGGATAGGATATGTAGGTCTGGACTGGGCATTCCACATAACAAGTTTCTGTATAACGAACTGGAGCACATTCTACGTAGCAAGTCTGAACTGGGCCTGGGGCTTCACATGGCACGTAGGTAACAGACTGGCACGGAACCTGGCATTGAACACAGGACGTTTGAGACTGGCATGGAACCTGGGATGTCACCTGGGAGGTGTTAGATTGGCATGGAGCCTGGCACTTCACCTTCGTGGTCTTAGATTTGCTTGCAGCTTGGCCCTTCACCTTGGTGGTCTTAGATTGGCACGGAGCCTGGCATGTCACCTCTGTGGTCTGGGACTGGCACGGAGCCTGGCTAGTCAGCTGGGAAACTTGAACTGGGCATGGTGCAGGGCACTCCACGATCTGCATCACCTGGCCCTGGGCACAAGGAGTCTGGGAGGGGCAGAAGGACCCCTTGACACAGCACTGGGGAAGGCAATACTGAATCTGCTGTTGGTCACACATGGTCCTGATGCAGGTGGGTGAGCAGGACCTGAGGATAGAAAGAGCAAAGTTAGGAAGGTGAGAGCTGGGGAGGAGGGACCAGGACCTAGGAAAAGATTCCTTGTCCCTGGGCTTTTCTCCTCTGGCCTCAGCCTTCCCCAGTGAATACTCACTGACTTAGCAGAACCCAGGATTAGTACTATTGTCCATGAGACCTGCTTGAGGTCTGCCTAATAACCTAATTGTGCTCAGCCAGAGTTGCAGGTGTCCAAGACCTCTCCCTGGGCGGTGAATACCAATGTGCAGCACCAGAGGGCGCTGATGACAAGAGGATTCTCCACACTGGCTCTTCTGTGGGAGCTGCCCTATAGGAAGTAGAAGTAACATCTTGCTCCCAAGGCTGTAGCCCTATGTGGGGGCTCCATAGCCAGAGAGGCTTGGATTTCCTCACACACAATGGCAGTACACATATATGTGCAAGCATGTAAAAATGTGCATAGGGAACAAGCACTCGGGCACCATCTGCCCTCACATAATGTCAAAGCTTGCATTGGATCCATTCGCTTATTGGGCGGCTCAAATCAAGCACTAAACGTTTGTTTCTCTATATTCAATCTTTTTCAGGTGAAAGAGAACCTTACAGATATGTGCAAAAGCATGCATGTACAAGACATACCAGTCTTGGGCAAGGCTTAAGATCGATATGGCAACTTGCCCAGGCAAGTTATGTGGCTTTTCTTAATCACCTAAAGTGTGACAGTCTGCTGGCTTCAGAAGAATTTTCTCTCCAGCCTCTGTGAGAGACATGGTAGAGACCTAAAATGATGTAACCCTGAAAGCACAAGATTCTTAACCACAAGACTACCGATCAGCCACACTTAAACATCCATGCAGCAGGAACATTATAAACACGACTGCAGAGATACAGGATCACACTCCAGTACCATACAGCCACGGGGGGGAGAAGAAAGCTCTTCCCAAGCCCACCTGTTCATGTACAGGCAACCCAGTAACTGGCAAAATAGAGGGATAATTTGACAAATGGTTCATCCAACAAAACACCTCTCATTATGCTCCCTAAATATTGAAAATGAATTCTAATGAAGGATGAAGCCCTAACATTTTCCAATTATAGAGATACAAGGATACTTCAAAAAGTTTGTGGAAAATGGAATTATAGTATAAATTTATTTTGGTGCGAATGATTTTAAAATCCATGCAGTGTTTTTCATAATATGCATTTTCCATGAGCACTTTGAGACTCGTTGTATCTATGTGCATATTCCCTTAGGTAAGTAAGTAACCCTCACATGACTCTGCTTACCAGACATAAATTACTAATGTGCCTTTTCCAAAGAGAGCAGGTCTTAATAAGGAAAAATAACACCTGAGGATGAGACCAGAACTAACAAGGGTGAATGCACTGACTCCATAGCCTCAGCTCTTCTCAAAACCTCTACAAATACTCCTCTTCTGTACCTTAAAGGTTCACTCAGATTTTCTCAAGCCAACATACCACTGTTTCTCTGCTCCTACATTTTTCCTTCACTAGACCTCACCCCCTGTGAATCTAAGCACCTCCTGAACATCATCCCAATCCCAATCCCAGGACCCAGCTCCCAGACTCACCCTCCTCACAGGCAAGCAGTCATTCAGGCTGAGGAGTCTGGGCAGAGGGCTGTTTTTATATAAAGTGTTCTGGGTCTGGCTTGGGCTATGAGACAGCTGGTTGGCATCTGCCTGGCTCATCAGCCAGGCCGACATTCCAGCAGTCAGTTCCCTCCTCTTGTGCCTGTCCTTGCAGTCACCTATAGAGTGTGGGAGTGTCTCATCTCAGTGTCAAAGCTTCCTGGCTATGAAGGAGTGGATTCTTGTTTTATTCCTCCTTCTTCACTTTGTCAATGTCTTCCTCGTCTCTAAAAGACCTGGTGGTGGGATGTGGAGGGATGGCATAGTTATCTTTTTTTTCCTTTTCTTTTGAGAGGTTTTTGCTATAGAGACAGAAAGCGAGAAATCACCACCACCCCCATGGGGGATGGCCACACCGCGATCCCTTCTCCTCCATCCTCCTCTTAGGATCTTGGGCACACACGCACACATGCTGATGTGAATTTAAGTCACCAGGTCCAACACTTGAACCGCAGCTGAGTACATGGGAGTCCAGCAACGTAGCCATTACACCATCTGCTGGTTCCAAGGGATGGCATAGTTATAAAAGAGGAAAATTTCTCTCACTTGAAGAGATTAAAATTACTTCAAAGATAGTGGCAATTCTACAAAAAGAAGAGAACAGGGGGTCAGAGCTGACTAGTGCCCCGGGTCGGCTACTTAACAACTAGGCAAACTTTATAACCAAACTGAGTATTAATGTACTCTTCTGCAAAGGAGAGATAATTAAATCTTCTCTCCTGATTATTGAAAGGGTTAAGGCCATTGTTTTATATCAAATAATCCAGCAAAGAATGACATTCAAAATATACAATATCTGGGGGCAGACAGTGGCACAGTAGTGACATAATGAGATTCATATGGGCAACTCTGGACTCATGGCCCAAAGTCTTCTACATCCTGTGTGCCTGCATGCCAGCCTAAGGCTGGGGGTGGATTGCAGTACGAGGATTCTTTTGAGGTGCCTGTCTCTTACTGTCTCTCTCTTTTAATTAATTAAGTAGTTTTATACACACACACACACACACACATACATATATATATATATATATATATATATAGAGAGAGAGAGAGAGAGAGAGAGAGAGAGAGAGAGAGAGAGAGAGAGAGAGAGAGAGAGAGAGAGAGAGAGAGAGAGAGTACATTCAGAGACAACACTGACCATGGCATCAGGCACAGAGAAATCAATGGATACCTGCTCCATCACAGTCCTGAATTGATGGCTCTTGAGCTGGTGCTCAGCTAATGCTACAGAGAAGTCTTTGAAAGTAGCACAAGACTTCTTTCTTGAAGATGGTGTGATGGAGTGGTGCTTGAGACAGCGTAGTGCAGGACAGAAGTAATAAACTGACCTGTTAATCAATCAAGGTGGGAATCTTATGTTTTCTCTGTATTGCATTTTAATTCATCACTAATATTTGGAAATAGGTTTTACTTAGGATTCCAGACATCTAGATTTTCTTCTAAAGTTAAAAGACCTGGCATAGATAAATGTAGCTTCCATCACTCTGATTAACAGCTGCTCACCTTAGTGCATACATTTTGCCATTCTACAATAGGTCGTCATTCTTTATTATATCTACAATGCAATTCAAAGTATAGATATCCATATGCTCTTATTTTTCTTTGTGCTTACTTTTTATTTGTGCTCTTCTTTTTCTTTGGTGAAGTTACAAGAAAAGTGGAATAATTCTTCTTTCGGCATTTCATTTGTTTATATCACTTTCAAACCCTTGTAGGCATTTAAGATTTTATTAGTGCAGGACAAGCAGGTGGTGTAATAGTTACGTCACTGGACTCTCACATAGTCAACAGCAGTTCGAGTCCCAGACCTGGTGACTTCAAATTCACACTAGGGATATGTGTGTGCATCCCCAAAATCCCAATAAGAGAATGAAGGAGAAGGGATTACGGTGTGGCCATCCCCCAGGGAGGAGTGATTTTTCACTTTCTGTCTCTCTGCCTCTCTCTGTCTCTCTGGCAAGTGCATGCACCCTATGACAAAAATCTCTCTCTCTCTAAAAAAAAAAAAAAAGAAAGAAGAAAGAAAAAAATGATTTTAATAGAGCTTGTGAGCAGAGACTTTAAATTTAAACAGATTTTGGGTTGGCTCTAAGCTGTAATACTTGCTAATGGGGTAAAATCTACTTAGCCTCAATGAACCTCAGATTTATTATCTGTAAAGTGGAAAGGAGAAGGAAGAAGAGAAAGAGACAAAAGATAATGATGAAAATAGAAAAGGAGGAGGAAGAGGAAAAAGGAGCAGGAAAGGAAGGGGATGAGGAAGATGAAGAAGAGGAATTAGAAAAAAACCATAGGATTGTTGTGTAAATTAGAGGAGAAAGCTAGTGTGCTTAAGATTTAATTAGCCATTTAACTCTGTGCTTTAGTCCCCTCAAATGAAAATGGAAGTAGTAATACTTCACCATGTTCTCAAGAATGTAAAATCAGATAATGGGTATGAAAGTGCTTTGTAACCTATAGTGTACACACCAATTATATCTGTAAAACCTTTTCCATGGGGTCTCCCCAGTTCAGTGTGACTTAAATGAGTCCTCATTCTGGATCCAATTCAAAGGAGTATTCAGATACTATTCCAAATTGGAGTAGGATGAAAGATTTTCAGAATGGCATAGCAACAAGAATTCCTAGGATCTGTATATCCTACCCTATCATTCCACAGATGAGAACTGCAAAGCCCAGAGAAATGAATCTGTCTGGGAATCAAAATATAATGATTGTCTTGGAGAGTATGGAGCCCAGGTAGCCCAAGCTTCAGGCTAGCCCTCTTTCTAATAAAACAAGTGATTTCTCTGATCATACACTTTGACCAAGGAGCTTTGGACTTGGAGAGCCCTGGGACTTGATATTCACGGAGAAGGTGGTCAGGAATGAAGTGAAAGAGGAAAACCGAGAGCATAGACTTATTGGTCCCACTGGAAAGGGAATGGTTAATCCTAATGGCTGTATCTCTTTCACTCATCTCTTGATGGCATATGTACTTCTTGAATGGAACATTTCCATCTTAATCATCCTTACTTCTCTGTATGCTGACATAATATGAGTCTGTTGATAGCTAGATGTATAAACAAGTAGAAGGATGGGTGTGGGATTGAGCTCAGTTCACCTATCTTAAATCACTAGAGGATTAGTTGATAATGTCCAATACAAAGACCAAAGAGCATTGCTACCTTTGTTACTTCTTGCTTCTTACTTCTTGCAAGAGAAGTGCTGGAGAATATGGAGGAAGAGCTTGGAAGTTGTCTTTATTTTTTTTCAATTGCCAGCAGGCATGTGCACTCACCAGAGAGAGACAGAGAGAAGTGGGTAGGAAAAAAGAATCCCCCAGTGGG